TGAGCTGTAATGATGTGGGTTTTACTAGCTTTATGGTCTCTCTATACTTTCATAGTTGAGCAATTGAGTACTTGTGGTTCTCCAAAAGCACTCCAAAGGTTATAATGGTTTTTCTTAGTCTCTTAGATTTTAATATTTAAATTAAGACTTTACATGCTTGATTGTTCCATAGCACAACCCTCAGCAAATGCCAAGCTATTAGAAATTACTACTAACCAATTAAGTTTTATATACCCAATCATATTTTGTAAAATACATGATGTGATGATTGATAGTTGGATTATATTTTTAATGATTTAAGAATGATTCCGATCACCAATCGACGTAACATCTGGTCTACAAAAAGATGGTCTCTCTAGCATCACCATCATTAAGTGAGAGATTTTAGGTTTGACTATCGCTAAAAGCGAAGTTGAATAACATTACTATAGCAAGCTCATTGTAAGGCTTAACCACTCATCTATTCTCTTAGTGTAGATATTATCGTTTGTCAAAAAAAAAAATCATGTTACAGCATCTACGTACGTATGTATTCATAGTTGATTACACAAAACAAAGATGAAAATAAAGATTCAATCTATCAACGAAGTATCCTTATGACGTTTTGTTCTATGGACACCCAATTTCTGATTGTTGGAGTAAGTTTAATTGTTCGTGTTCAAATTTCTTGGACATTGATTTTTTATCCGTATGTTTTGTTGTATCAAACCTATCTTGTCTAATAAAGAAAACTTTCATTATTATTGCTAGCTCATTGTGAGGTTAATCTCGTCTCTTCTCTTTTGATATAGATAATATTGTTTGTTAAAAAATAATCATAAAAAAAAAAACTTTCAAAAAAATATTCTTGAGAGTGTTTTTGTAAGGACTAAAAGGGTTTTTTCACAACCAAAAAAAAAATTCCATACTACATTTAGCAAAAAAAAAATAGCTTGTTTGAATGTACTTTTAAAATGACTAAAAGCGTTATTAGAGAAAATATTTTTGGATTCCAAAAGCACTTTAAGTGCTTTTTGCAAGAAGCACCAATTATGTGCTTCTTCCAAGAAGCACTTTAAGGGCTTTTCCAAGATTTACTTGCATTTTTACTAAGAATTAATTATAAAAACATGTTCACCAAAAACGCTTTCAGTCATTTTAAAAGCACATTCAAATGAGCTATAAGTATTCCTAGGCTATAGAAGCGCTTTTTGGAAGATCACCTACTAAATACTTGGTGCTTCTTGAATCGCTTCCTAAGTGCCTTTCTTCAAGTAAGTGTTTTTCTTAGGAAACACATCTAAGTGTTTCATAGAACATGGATTATATATACACTTTATTCTCATATTTTAAAAAACTTCCTAATCATGGTTAGAAGAGATTTTTCAATATTCTTGAAACACGAACACTTACACAAGTGAGTTTTCAGGGGTTTAAATTGTGGTCCATTCCCAACCCAAAACCTTCAATTGTCACCTCAGTTTTGCTGGGTACAGAAATGGTCCAAGTTCTTAATCCCCTTCCACGAATAGCCCAACCCAAAAAGCCCAATTAATTTACCTGGGATTATGTGTGAGACAGTGAGAGGGGCACAGTAACCCAAAATCGTTAGCCCAATGGAGAAATTAAAAGAGCATTAAGGCTCAGTAACCCAAAAAATGCGATGCAGCCCACTGTAGGCACCCATCAAATGTAACATCATTGGCATAGTCAGACATTCTTTTAATGGATAAGGTTTGTATGCCCTCCACTTTCGATACTATTTGTGTGATCACGGTTAAGTTACGTCTATATTTTATATTACTATTCATTTTTATCTTATTATATCTATAAAAAAAATAATATAAAATATTAACGTATCTTAACCGTGACCACACAAAATAAGAAGGCACCGGAAGTAGAGGGCAGACAATCCTTGTCCTCTTTTAAATTGCTTCCAACTTGTGTAAACAGTATTTACACACAGGTGACAGGACTGTGCCTGCAGATCTGACACCTCAGCTCAGCCGTCCAATTTTATTGGTCATCTAAAAGTTGATAGGAGAAAGGAGTAGGATAAATTTTTGTGTGTCTGGTACACTTGTTATGCAGCGTGTATTTGTATGTATTATAATATAGGTAGACGATAGAGTTAATATTTACTATTTATACCGTGTATTACGGTTAATTTATATGAATTATCATATAATTAATTTGACCGAAGATGTAAATTGATATAATTTCAACATAATATAGCTAATCTTTAAAAAATCATATACAAGTAAACGAGAAGGTTGATATTTTGCACTCTTATAATTTAAATAAATACATATGTTACAATATAAATATAAATATAACATGCACTGATACCGTATTTTTTTTAACAAACGATATTATTTACACTAAGGAAGTGTGAGAGTGGGCTACGCCTTACAATGAGTTAGCCATAATAATATGGTTCAAATTCACATTTAGTGAGAATTAAACATAAGACCTCTTACTTACAAATAAAGAAGAATACTACTAGATCATAGTACTAAGTAGCCGTACCAACACCGTATTTTTTTTATTTTTTGGAAAATCCAAAACAGTATTTTTGGATGCACTGATAAATCTATTTCGAGAAATCACATTTTTTTTCTCATCTGTCCAAAATTTGTGACATAGCTTTCTAGATATCACATTCTACCAAAGGGTCCCCACTTTGCTTCAAAATCTATATTTTCTCCTTCCATTCCATTGTGTCTTCTTTTTCATTTCAGTATATTTTTTTTTTGGGCAAAAACCCATTTGCCCTATTTTCCTCTGAAACGGACTTATCAGTTTTCAATAGAAAGCTACTACTGCTGCAATTACTTGACATATCAGCTTTCAATTGAAAGCTACAGCTGCTGCCAAATATACCTCCTTATGAACAAAACAAAAAAAAAAACAAAACTCTTCTTTCCGTTCTTTTGTTCATGCACATTCTTTCACGTATCAATCGATTGGCAATTCGGGTAACGTACTAGCATTATTGACAAATTGGGTGGCATTTACAGTAACGTTAGAACAATCTGAACCACACATTCAAACGATAATTTACACGGTTAATGATTCAAATTTACGTACTAACAACACATGCAAGTTAGTATTTGTTTAATTTGCACTTAAAAACGGAACACTCATTTGAATTTTGATGTTTGTTCAAATTATGAGGCTGTCAACTGATTCTGAGTTGGACGCTAACAACTTAACAGTTTACGGAGATGGATACGCTTTCAAGTTTTTATGTTTTCTTATATTATGAGATTGTTAATTGGTTATGAGTTGGATGCTCATAGTCTAATAACTAATAAAAATCGGACTCTATTTCGAGTGTTTGCTTATGTTATGACGTCAATTAATTTTAATTTGAATGCTCACAGCTTAACAATTATAAGATATCTTCTAGTATGAAACTTAATTTAAATGCTGAAAAATGTTAGATGGATTTGGAAGGAAGCTAAACACTGCAAACCTACAGTTAGATTTGATGTTAGGGTGGTAGGGTGTGCTAAATTAGTTCTGTCATGCCTCTGGATTCAATATATATATAGTAAAGGAATCAAATTTGATTTTACTAACTAAACATATGTGTGGTTTGACAGCACAACAAAAATAGATTCACCTAACTCCCAATGATATATATTGTCTCTCTTAACAAGTTGCAAATATTAACAATTTTGGTTTTCTTGTCCATTGGCATTGTGCCAATAACCCCCAGTTAATTGTTTGTAATTTTAATCTCCCAATAAACACATGTTTGTCATTCAAACTTGTGAACTAAGAAGAAAGTGATCGAAAACGTTTATCTTTGTATCAAAAATTTAAGAATAAAGTAATTAAAAGTATTTATTTTTGTATCAAATGTTGTGTTTTCGAATTCTCCTCCTTCAATATTGCTTTTACATATTAATAACCAATGTTGAACAAAATTAATTATGAGTAAAATTTTCTTAAAACGCTTGTCCTTGAAGAATAAATATCGAAAGTCTGTGGAGGATCATATTGAGGAGCAGAGTGCATGAGTTACTAACAAAAGGACCCTTTGCCAAAGGATGTGAATAAATAACCACGATTATCAAAGTGCATGAGTTACTAACGAAATGACCATTTGACAAAAAAGTGGGTAAATAACCACTATTATCTGTTTGCCATAACCGTTATCCATCCCTAATAATAATTACACTGTAATTCCAAAAAACTCTAAAAGACTAAAAGGGGAAGCCCCCCAAAAGCTTCTTCAAATTAACCCTAGTCTTTTTAGCTTAGGGAGAAGCTAAGCCTGTGTGTAGTACAAAAATAATGTTCAATCAAGGACTTTTTACCCAGAGGATTTTGAAAGTTGGATAACCTTTTTGTATTCTTTTGGTGCGATCTTTGGTATGGAGATTCAAAAAGGTACAACCACACACAAAAAATTATAGCTACTTTATGTGATCTAAACCACTTGCTTTCCCCATCTTTCAAGTGTTCTAGTTGAAAAAGTTGTCATCCCACACTCAAAAAAGTAATGGAAACATTCAGACCCTTTTTCCTCAACCAATCTTTTTTCAAAAAAGCATCAATGAACTTCCACAAGCTTTTCTTTTTCTGCTTCATATTTTCAAACACCAATTGTTTATGTTTTATTTTTTCTGTCAAATCATAAAAAGAACAGAAGAAAACCCAGAAATCATGCATAGAAAATATCAAAATATACAGGAATATAGAGGACACTTTCACTAAGAAAGACAGAGGAATTAAAATACATAGAGATTACATAACTGAGGCTAAAGAGATAATAACCCATCAATGTAGTTCTTTTTAGGAATCGACTGGATGTTGAGAATCGAACTTAAGATATCTTTCAGCGTTTGGAAGAGAAATGCCACTAAACCCATCAATTGAGAATCGAACTTAAGATATCTTTCAGCGTTTGGAAGAGAAATGCCACTAAACCCATCAATGTAGTTACCCAAAGTTTGATTCTAACTATTAATAAATCCACTAGAAAACACAGATTACAGAAAACTCTATCATTAAGACCCCCGGTTGGAAAACAAAGCTTCCCAAATCTCAGTAAAAACCTTAGTAATCACTCCGTGCTGATGTGTGGAATTCAAGGACAGAAAACACTGCAGAAGCTGTTCGAGATCCTTCGCCGAAAATATCTGCTTCTCGAAGATCATCTCCACCATTGATGTCCTGAAGTCGTTGTACGGATCGCTCGACTTCTTCACCACCGCAAAGCAGTCCTTCACTCTTCCTTGCAACGGAAGCAGACCCACGTCGGAACTCGCTCTTCTCCGGCTGCCGGTGCTCCCGTTTCGCCGTGAGCGACCGAGCAAGCGGGGCCCGGAGGAGTCGGAAGAGTGGCTCTTTGAAGAAAACAGTGTGTCAATCTCGTCATCGCTGCTCGACCACCATCCTCTGTAGTTGTTACTATCGAAAGATGAAGAACTAAACGGGAAAAAATCACCGTTGGTTTTGTCCTTCTTGGAATTCCTCGCCTTCTTCTTCTTTTTCTTGACTCTTGTTTTTCTTTGTTTGGAGCTTTTCTCATGGAGGTTGTAGTAGGGGTTTAACGGCGGCGAGTTTGGCGAGGCTGGAGGGCATGTGTGGCCGTCGGGATTAAAGGGTTTTACAAAAGCAGAGTACTTTTCGAAAATCTTGCGTCTTGGGAGCATGGCGTCTTTGGTAGAGATAGTGGATTGATTTAAATCGGAGCATTTAGGTCTGCAAATGGAAGGAAACTGTCGAGGCGGCAACTGCTTAGGCGGCGGCTCGGCAGCATGCAAGTCTTGCTGGTTCTCAGGCAAGCACACCGCTTTTTCGATCACGTCCGATAAGTTTCGGGTCCTGCAGGAGCCGAATGAGGATCGGAACATGTTTGAGAGCTTGAGCTTGAATCGGTTTTGCATTGCACTTGCAGAGAGCTATGGAGAAGGAGAACTGAATTTCTAGAGAGAGAGAGAGAGAGAGAGAGAGGAGAGAGATATGTAGGAGTTTGGATGAGGGGTATAAATGCATGAGAAACCGAAAGTGGGAGCGTTTTAAATGATATTTTAACAGTTGTTTGAGGAAACTTTTTGCAGGTTTGTCTTCTCCTTTGTCATCTAACAAGAAATACTGGTTTTGATTATGTACTGCCCGTTGTTGACTTGTAGCAATAATTTTTTTTATTTTTTATTTTTTGTAGATGCGAAAACGATCATATTAGTTAGAACGGATGCAATCTTTATTACGTATATTTGAGTACAAATTTTCCATCACAGTTTAAATTAAGTAAAAGTAAAATCTCCTTGGTATAAAAGAATAGTTCTTTTTTTTTTCTTTTTCTAAGATGATATATGATCCAACTTTACCTTCCAACTAATCTTTTGTATTTTAGATTTATTTTTTATTTTTTAGTTTCAGCCAATTTGAATCTTGCCTTAGAATGAATTTATGAATATGAAATCATTACATAGTTATGTTCTGAGACGCATGCATGGGCAGCTAGATGATGTACCGTTCGCCTGCAGATCTGAGGAATGCCTTCTATCTATGGTTATTAAGTAATTGCCCACGCACTATATTAGGTCTTGTGCATGGGAGGATGGACCAAAAACTTTACTAATCTTTTGAGGCTATTTATGGGTATATAATTGGAGTTTAAACTATGTTGAAAGAATGTAAGCTTATATATTTCGTTGGTCAAACAAAATTTTAAACCATAAAGTTTACGCGAGAGGATTTGAATTCGAAGCAAGGGAAGCGTCACACTACCCTATTCACTTTAGCTCTAAACCTTTTATGTGAAGCAGGATTTGGATATGATCAAACTATGTATCTTAAGAAAATTCAAAATTATAGCTTAAGATGTGAGGAACATTAAATTATGCACCTATATATGTAGAATATCACCATACTAGAAATGCTACTTGTCTGCAGCTCTTTAGGTCATCTTAGTTTGACCTAAAAGCTCTTAAGCCTTTCATTACAATATGGCATCGACTCAGTTCGTTTTGGCTTTTTCTCACATGTACACAGTTCTTTTTGGCATTTTTCACATGTGTGACTAAATAATTGAATATGTTTCATAAGTATGGCATAGTCATGATTTCACTTGTCTGGATTTATTATGTTATTTGAAATCAATTTCTCCGAGCAAGCTCTTCCATCAGCTCTTCCATCTTGTAGACGTTTTCTTCGATGTCATTTGGCTTCCTGACATTCTAGTATAGTTTTTATTTTTTTCCAAGACTTGTTACGTTTACATTATCCAATTTCAAGTTAGATTGATGACTATGTTACAAGGAAGTAGAAACCTTTATATGCACTTCCAAGAATTAATGACAAGGAAGAGGGTAAAATATTGCTGTCAAATATACATTGGAGATGCAGAAATTATTATAAACTGTGGATGTTGCTTTCTTTGTTCCTGTATAGGAATCAAACAATCCTGCGGCTTGTTATGATGTTGCAATAATATATACCTATAGGCTATATGTAGGTATATATTAAATTAAAAGAAAGAAGAAACTAGAATCTAAAAATTCTTGGCTTAACAAGTGATATATTGTGTTGATGGTTAAAGTATTCTTCCGCTTCAACTTATTCTTATTGTATTTCGAGTTTGAACTCTTTGACTTTTTTAGTGTAGATTAATGTGTAGAATATCACTTGTAATATTAAAAAGAGATGTTTGACTTTAAAAAATTCAAAAGAAACGTTTGAGAGATATGTAAACCATGAGTAATCATATTTAATGTACATATATAGACGATTGATCGTAGAACTATTTTGAAATATATTAGTGGGTACGAGAGAAAATTATTGATGACTATGAGACCTGGATTGAGGCTTTGACTCTATCTTTGTAAGGAGAAAATTTTCAATGTGTCAGGCCGTGTTTAATTTACATATGTAGACGACTGATCGTAGCACTCTTTTCAAATATATTAGTGGGTACGAGAGAAAATCAGAACAGACTATGAGACATGGACGGATGCCCTGACTTTATCTCTGTAAGAAGAAATTTCAGTGTATTGGAAATACGGTTCGGTAGCTCAATACAAGTGGTTGGATACACACTGAAAAATTTCCCCTAACCTTTCTTCTCATTGGTATAATATTATCTTTAAGTAAAAAATAGGTTTGTAGAGAGACCAGGATTTACTCCTTTTTTTTGTTTCTGAATATACAGTGGAGTCTTTATGCTGGTAAGCACCTTAAATTAAACACAGATGCATAAAGCATGGAAATGGGAGGGTCATTAGCCAACATATTTGTAGCGCAGCCTGGCTCCATTCAACCACTTACCATGTAAACTATATGTGCTCGTGACCCAATAGTTTAGTTCTTATTGATGATTAAAATTGTTATTGGCATTCTAGAAAAGTTGTGGAGTCCTTTATCATAAAAATATTATTTTGAAGTCTAAATAACAGATTTTCTGCTTGCGTAATCTATGTACATGAGCTATATTTTTTTTTCTTTTCCGAAAGACCATAAAACTTATGTACAATATATTCTTCAGAATCATTTATATTCTTCCTTGTGAGTTCAAATTTAGCTCTTGAAATTGGAAGTTTCGATGAGCAGACGTTGCATAAAAAAAGAAGGAGTGTGATATCCATACACCCCATTTTATTTCTTACACACCCTTCTAATTTTCGGCCGTCGGATCAGATGAATTGAAGAAGATCAACGGATAGAAATTAATAAGTATGTGTGAGAAGTAATTTGGGGTGTGTGGATAGCACACCCCAAAAAGAATGCCCTGGAAAGTGGAAAACCTCCCCAAACATGCAGGTTTGTCACCCACCTCCCCTGGTTACATGCATATTTTCATGAGAGAGAGGGGTTAGTGAGATTCAGAGTGGAGGACAAAGGTTATATTGTCACCTTTTCCATGTTGTACTGGGAAATATTATTATTCAACAGGCTTTTTTGATGTTTTCAATCTGAATTTTTGGTTTTATATCTGTTGTCAATATGTTCGTGTCTGCTTCCCATTTGTCCACCAGTTAAAAGACAAATTGAGAGAACCTAAAACTCTTGGCTTGCACCAAACAACTTGAAAGTTTTCATGTACTGACTACTGAGTACTACGCACGTTTCAATTTTCACAATAAAACAAAAAAAAAAAAACTAATGAAAATGACTTGAAAATTTTGAGTTTTAACGATAAAGACAAAATAAAGGGTAAAGTGAATAGTATCATGATTGACTTTTTAGTGTAAAAACGTGATTTTTTGTTAAAGTAAACAATACTGGAAGCTTTTCGTTAAAGTTCCCTACAAAAAACCCTAGTGGCATATAATACATATATATATTTATATTTTCTTCAAATACACACACACACGTATATATTTGAAGATGAGCATCTCAAGTTCTTAGAAGCTTCCAACAGCTAAGTACAGAGGGGAGCGCAGGTTCTTAACCTTTACAACCAATGCTCCCATGCAACCAAGAGCTAACAGACAGTCTTCTGCAGATGGGATTCATTTTTCAAGTGGAAGTTTGCTCTTTGACAAGAAGAAACTTATTGCCACGACACAGATTTCGTCATCCACTTACACTCGCTTTCATGCTCTTGTTATGACTAAAAGGTCCGGGCTCTGAAAATTAAAAAAAAAATATATATATATATATCGATCTGGACTTGCGAGAGGGGTTAGTGTTTGACATTTTGAGAATGCCTTTTGGGCGAAAATGGTGGTTACTATTTCCATGAATACCATAAAGGAATAGGGTTGGAGTAAAAAAGACAAGGGCAATGAACCAAGCTATGAGCCAATAAGCTTTCATAACTCTCTCATCACCCCCTTGCAAGTTGTAATCTTATCTAACAAGCCAAGTTCTAGTTAATTCAACCGATCTCTGTCTAATTCTTGTTAATTGAAATTGTAAACAAGATGACAATCCTTAGAGTTTAGTAAACTATAGCTAATTTGGACTGATGTGTCTAATTGTAGTTAATTCTGACGCGAAAAAAAGAAGATGAACAGTATTTAGAGTTAATTCGATCGAATTGGAAACAAGATGAATAATCTTTAGGTTAATTCGGACTGAAACAAGATGAAAAATCTTCAGGTTTTAGTTGCAATCTCAAGCCTATTTGGAGTCTCTATAAACACAAGCCAAGTTTTGGTATCTGATTTGGATCTAATTCTGGTTAATTCGGACTGAAAACAAAATGAACAAGCTTTAGGGTTTAGTTGTAATTTTATGTTTATGTGCAGTATTTATGAAAACAAGCAACACTTTGGTTAATTCCAACTTATCAGTGTCTAATTCTGGTTAATTCGAACTTAAAAAAAAAGATGAACAACTTTTAAGTTAAATTCATAATGAAAACAAGATGAACAATTTCTAGGGTTTAGTTGCACTCTTTTTATAACAAGCCAAGCTCTATCTAATTTTGGACTGCCCTGTGTCTAATTCTAATTAGTTCATACTCCAAAACAGCTTTAACCCGGGTCCTTCCGATTTTAGTGAGGTTTTCTGAAATTCTGCGGGTAGTTTTATTGGTGGTTTCTCCTTGAACTTGGGGCATTATACTTCTTTCGGAGTTTCATGTTGTCATCCTTGCTGTGAAGTTATCTTATGTGCAGGGTTGGGAAAACGTATGGCTTGAAAATGACTCTTCTAGTGTGATATCTTGCTTTGCTTATGGTTATTTTTCTCCTCATTGGTCGCTACAGATCCGTTGGAAAAACTATATTTCCTGGTTGCGGCACATGGCCTTCCTTGCTCTCATACATTTCGAAAAGGGAATATAATTGCCAACATATATTAGCTAATTTATGACTTCTCTTGTCTTCATTTGTATGTCAAATCACTCCTACAGAGATTTTTCATTGTTTGCATTTAGATTTCTTAGCATGCCGGCCTACGTACAAGTATGTCTCCCCTTCTTGTTGTACGATTTTCT